CGGAGGGGCAGCGAGGCGGGCCGGGCCCGGTGCGGTGAGTCAGTGGCCGGCGGTGACGGGGCACCCGGGAACGCGGGCCCGGGTGGGTGGCGTTTGCCCGGTCCGACCCTGGGCCGCCAGCGCAGCCCCGGGCCGGGGAACCGGCCCCGAGCGTTCCCCGCTCTCAGCTGCGCGTCGTCGGGCTGCGGCGCCCGAGCCCGAAGCCCCGAGCGGCGCTGACAACGCAGCAAGAAAACGGCGCGAAGGCTGGAGAAGGAGCGTGGGGCCACGGGGAGGCAACTCCCGCGGCGCGGAGGAAGGAAACGCCAAGGGCCTGACCTCACCGGCAGCCTCCGAGCGTTCCCGGGCTGAGCCTGGCGTAGGCACAGCCTGACGAGGCCCCGCGGGTGTTTATTGCTTTGCTGCCCAATTGCCGCTTAGGTCATCGGGACGAAGCCTTTACACCCCGTGGAATGTTTACTGCCCTTGCTCTTGTTGTCCCTTTCCTGACGGCAGGAGGGCTCTGGCACGTCCACCTCTCCCTTCCCTCTCCCTTCCACTTAAACCAGACTTAAAAAAAACTTTCAAACTTCACTTGGAGCAGCGACAGGCACCGTCGCCCTCAGCAGAGACCTCAGTCTCTGTGCTGACCGGTCAGGTGCTGCCGCCTTGCATCAGGAGAGGCCCTGATGCCTCGTTACCGCTCTTATTAGAGCCTCTGATGCCTTGTTATCGTTCCTCCCAGAGAGAAGCAACCTGGCCGGGGTGCGGCACATCCTGCTGGTGCTCTCCGGGAAGGGCGGCGTGGGGAAGAGCACCATCTCCACTGAGCTGGCACTCTCGCTGCGGCACTCCGGGAAGAAGGTGAGCGAGGGTCTGTGGGATGCTGAGCTCTGCCTTCTCCTTCCCGACCCCCAGCTGGGCTGGGTTTTGCTCATCCTTTATGTCTGCGTGTGTCCTGTGCAGGCAGCCTATGGATTCTCTGTGTGAAAATGCTGATTGTGATAGCAGCTCAAGTGTTTCTTTTTCTGTCTTTGCTTCATCCAGTGCAGGGAACTGCACTCTCATCCGAGAGACTAAAATCACCCCAGATTTGTTGTTGGTTTTGAAACAGAGGCACTGAGAAATCACTTTGCTGGTTTGTGGTGTAACGCACGCTCCCGTTGTGGAATGAGGCGGATGAGCTGAAGGATGGCGTTACGATGGGGACGAAGGGGAACGTGGGGGCATGAGACAGGCTGAATTCCCCAGGGTTTTTTAAAGGCTGCGTGCAGCCGATGAAACTGTGTTTCAAATCTGGCTGCTGAGCTTAGAGTCCGTTCTGTAAAGCGTTGCGAGCAGCCAAAATTCGGACGCGGCCAAGCACGGCCGGGTGCTGCTGCTGTGCTCAGCCCTGTCTGAGGGGCTCTGCCTCGCCCCCGCAGGTGGGGATCCTGGACGTGGACCTGTGCGGCCCCAGCATACCCCGCATGTTCCAGCTGCAGGACAACGACGTGCACCAGTGCGACAGCGGCTGGGTCCCCGTCTTTGTGGACCAAGACAAGAGCATCTCGCTCATGTCCATCGGCTTCCTGCTGGAGAAGCCGGATGACGCCGTGGTGTGGAGAGGACCCAAGAAGAACGGTACAGTTGGGTTTTGCTGTCTGGGGCCACCTTCCAGTGCCAGGAACCTTCTGGGAACCCTCCTGGAGGTGGTGGTTGTTCCTGCTGGGGGCCAGGCTTTTCTGGGCAGGTCGTTCCTTGGAGCGAGACAAGGCTCCTGTTCCGCAGGAGTGGGTTCGGGTCACTCGGATGCGGAGAGTGCAGTCCGCGTTGTGCTGACAGCAGCCCTGCCGTTTCTCCCCGGGCCCTTGTCACCCAGGGTGCCTCCTGGCCCACGGCTCCCACAGCACCTGCTGAAACCTGGTTTGTTTGTATTTTTTTTTTTCCCTTGCCCTTTTTATTTCCGTAGCTTTGATCAAACAATTTGTTGCTGATGTGGCCTGGGGGGACCTGGACTTTCTCATTGTGGACACGCCGCCGGGCACGTCCGATGAGCACATCTCCACGGTGGAGGCCTTGCGGCCCTACAAGCCGCTTGGAGCAATCCTGGTGACAACGCCGCAGGTAGGGCAGCCGGCTGGGGCTGAACGGGAGTTCCCGGGCAGGCTTCTGCCCCCAGGCATGTTTTGGGGGGGAATATGCACCTCGGGATGGGTGTTCGCACAGGCCTGTCCATGGCTGCTTGTTCTACGCATCTGCCTCTCATTTGATGCATGCCTGCTCCAGACCCACAGTCCATCTGGACAGACGGACACCCCTAACCTCCCCTGCTCTCCCCCACGCAGGCTGTGTCTGTAGGAGATGTAAGGCGAGAGCTGACCTTCTGTAAGAAGACGGGCTTACAAGTTCTCGGCATCGTGGAGAACATGAGTGGCTTCGTCTGCCCGCACTGTTCGGTGAGTTTATTGGGACGCTGGGCTACTGCGGGTTCTCGTTCGTGACGGGGTGTTGTCGGGTGCGGTGCCTCGGGTGGAAAATTGGCCAATGCCACGAGGGTGATGCCGTGAGCTGGGGAGATGAGAAGCTGCCGGCTGCTGTGTGTCCGCTTTTAGGAAAGCGGAGCCAGTGGCTTCTTCCAGGAGAGCTGGGGGAGGGCAGGGGCAAAGGCAGTGCCCTGAGGCTGGGAGGCGGAGGGGAGCTGGCTCTACTCCCCGTGCGGGGTTTATGACTCGCTGCTTTTTGCTCTTCCTCCTTCAGGAGTGCACAAACATCTTTTCCAAAGGGGGAGGTGAGGAGCTGGCCAAGCATGCTGGCGTCCCCTTTCTAGGTGAGTGGCCTCTTGAGCAGAGCTTTCTGTGGTCCGAAGCGATATGGCGGTGCTGTGGGAGTGCTTGAGCGGAGGGGTGCGGCGTCACGGGGGCAGGCAGGCTGGGCTCTGTGTCCCTGTGAGCCCCTGCTTGCCCGGTCAGAGGTGAGGTGTGGTTCTTGCTTTGCTTCTCTGCCATCCAAACTGCTCAGAGTGGGCATCTGTCCCTGCTGGGACAGAGGTGGTGACTATCAGCAGCCTGCTGTGGCTGCTGACGTCACGGTGACAGAGTAAGCAAGCCTGAGGCTGCACAGAGCCATTCTGAAATGCCCTGGAGCCTCCCTGAGAAATGGGGGCTGAGGGCTGAACCCTGCCTCCAGACAGGGGTGGGATCAGAGTGGGAGAGGGTCTCTCATGGGGTCTTGGACCCGGAGGGAGCAGTTGCCGGTGAGAAGTAGCTCCTGGAGAGCTCAGCGAGGGTCGTGGTTGCCCTCCTTCCCACTGCTTCCCCCAGAGACGACTCTGGCAGGGTATTTCTTTCCCATCCTGACTCCAGGCCTTTGCCTTACAATGAGCAAGCAGCCACTTTTCCCCTTCCTCCTATCCCACAGGCTGCGTTCCCCTGGACCCCCAACTCAGTCAGAGCTTGGAAGAAGGCAGAGACTTCATCCGAGAGTTTCCCAAGAGCTCTGCCTTCCCTGCCTTGGCTCGCATCGCCCAGCAGATCCTGGACGGTGCGTCACAGCGGAGCTCCTGAGGAGGGCATGGAGCTGGACTCTTGCTGGCGGAGCCCCTGGCCTGGCAGCGCCACCAGCCCCCCGTGCCGGCGGGGAAGGGGGACGCAGAAACTGTTTAGCTGTAAAACTGTCCCAGTGGAGGGTGACAGAGCGAGGGGGGAGCACGGCGATCCAAAAAGGGAAGCGCTGCTCCGTCCCCCCGGATTTGAAGAGACCCTGCGCAGGCGCTCCCGCCTGCGTGGCGGCAGCCTGCTCCTCGCCTTCTCGGCGCGGCGGTGCTCTGCCCAGGTGGTACAGTTGTTCCTAGCCCCGCGCACGCAGAGCCTTCCCCCGCAGCCAGCTGTGGCGTGGGTGCTTGGGTCCGCAGCGTCTCATGCGGCGCTTCTGGTGATCACCCAACGCAGCCACAGCGGCAAACGCCGTCAACTCTTCTCCCCGCCACTGCACCCAAATGGCACCGATCGTCTGGATCGTGGCTCCGCGTGCTGCTGCCTTCCACCGCTTTCCTTGTGTGACGGATTATATGGTACTTAGTTCAGTGGCTGGGGGGGTTCTGCTGGAGGGTCTTGTGTGGGCCCCAGGCCCCCTTCTCTGGAAACCCCGGTCCCC